GACAGGGTCTCCCTGTAGCCCCAGCTGTCCTGGAACTCACTATGCAGACCAGGCTGGCCTTGAACTCACAGAGATCCGCCTGCCTCTGCCTCCTGAGTGCTGGGATTAAAGGCGTGTGCCACCACGCCTGGCCTCAGAATTCTATTTAAAGAAAAGAATTTGTTGGGGTCCAAAGTAGAAATGCACTGGAGAAGAGCAGTGTAAAGACCAGTTAGGAGGTTGTTTCTGTTCACAGGTGACACATGGTAGTAACTCAGTAAGACCACAGAGAGGTAGTGGTAACAGAAATTGAGAAAGTAGGCAGATTCCAAAGAGATATAGGACTTGGTGACAGGCTGTAGGAGGGGGTGAGGCAGAGGGATGGGTCCAGGTTTCTTGCTTGGGCAGCACAGTGGGTGGGGGAGGGTTGGAGAGGAGCCAGTTTGTGTAGAAGAGGAATTCCATTTTAGACATGCTGAATCCCAGATGGTAGCTAATGCACAACCATGGCTCTTCTTACTTTCATAGGAATGCTCCAAAATGGCAAGAAATTCGATTCATCCAGAGACAGAAACAAGCCTTTCAAGTTCAGAATTGGCAAACAGGAAGTCATCAAAGGTTTTGAAGAGGGTGCTGCTCAGGTAGGCTGAAGATACTAAAGGGGTTTTAAGGAACTGGGGATCAGCATTGCACCCTCCACCTCCTCACCTAGCCAGACCACTAACTGCCTTGGCGAAGCATCGCCACCTAGTGCTCACTTCTGGCTCTGCCCCCACCCCTTCCATGGTTGGCATGCCTCCCTTTGTGTCTCTGGGACCTCTCATCCCAAGCACATCCCCTGGGCTTGCAGAGAGTTAACTGAAAAGGCAACCAGCTCTCTGGGCCAAGACCACAGGAGAGTTGGAGTTGGATAAGCCAGTAAGTGTTTTTTGTTTTTTAACTTTATTGAAATAATTTCAGGCATAAAAAATATTACAGAAATAGTAAAGCTCCTATGTTTTCTTCATACAGCTTCCCAAATGTTAACATTTTTTTAAAATTATTTTTTATTTTATGTATATGAGGGTATTGCCTGTATGTATGTAAGCTATGCCCATGGAGGCCAGAGGAGGGCATTGGATCCCCTGGAACTGGAACAGATGGTTGTTAGCTGCCATGTGGGAGCTGGGAACTGAACCTGGGTCCTCTGCAAGAGCAACCAGTGCTCTAGTCATCTCTCTAGTCCTAGAAATGTTAACCTCTTATATAACCATATTACATTGATCCAAACCAGAACATTAACAGTGATACAATAATAATAGTCAACTAAAATTTTTGGAATTATTTGGAATTAGTAATTGTGAATTCAAATTTCACAATTACTAATGTTGAATGGGTTCACTGTTGCTGAGATGAGCCCTGGTCATCCTTTCTATGAAGTCACGGGACACTACATTCCAATAGATCCCTAGCCTTTGCCACCTTGCTTTCGCTTTTGGTCCCTGAACCTTAATAGACTGTTCCTGTCACTTCAAGTGTGTTCAGTACTGTTACACATTCCCCTTGGGCTTCTTTGGAAGGTCAGGAACAATTATAAGCAAAGACAAGTATTTGGACGATGCATGAGTTGGATAACCAGTAGCATTTGTCGCATGAATGAATCTGAGGTGACTGTGTGGCAGTTCATTGCCCCATAGTCAAGTATGTTTTGTGGCAGAATCTGCATGTTATAGCCTTTAGCACAACTGCAGTGTGCCATGTGTAAAATTCATCTCAGAGCTTCAGAATTACCCTGAAGATGGTTTGGGAAAATGCCATAGTTATCTTACTTTTTTCTTTTAAATCAAGCTGGGTCCTCTTTCTCCTCTCCCCATCTGCCCCCATCCCTGCTAGATGAGCTTGGGGCAGAGGGCGAAGCTGACCTGTACCCCTGATGTGGCATATGGAGCTACAGGCCACCCTGGTGTCATCCCTCCCAATGCCACCCTCATCTTTGACGTGGAGCTGCTCAACTTAGAGTGAAGGCAGGAAGTAATGGGAGGTGGCTTGGAGACAGCTGCTGCTCACCCTCCTAGCCTGTTCTGCCACTGGGACAGCCCCTTTGTGTGGGGCTCTTGATCAGTGTGCTGGCCTCACTGCCCCAAGGCATTATCCATTCTCTCTGTCCTCTGTATGTGTCTGTCATTTAATTGTTCCTGCATATCTTTGCTTGAGGAAACTTCAGTTAGAGATCAGAACATTTCAGGTTTTATATTTTGTGTGATGCATGTAGTAGCCATTCCTGATCATAGAACACAGATTTCTTGTTTGCACAATCTCTACTGCCTTACCTTAAGTTAGACACACAAGGTGCTCAGACATGCTCTGTACATAGTTACACAGAGGGACTTGAGCCAGTTATGTTTGCTGTCACTTTCTTATATTCTGTTGGCTGCTCACTGATAAAAACAATGCCCTTTGGAAATATGTAAAATAAAGACTCTGTGCTAGATGTCTTCCTGTCCATCCTTCTTGTGGGTAGGAAGTGTTTTAAGGACCATACAAGCCAACTGCCCTTGGTAAAAGAAAGAGTCAACAAAGATGTCCAAGGGACTGGGAGAGTACAAGTAAGTGTCATTAACTATAACGTGAGCATGTTGTTCATGATGGGCCTTGTTCTGTGTGCATTTTGTTTTGAAATTTCAGGCTGATGTGGAACTCAGTGATCCTCCTTTAACCTCCTGAGTTGCTGGGATCACAGGCAGGCACCACCAGCTTCATTCTGTATACTTTTGCCACCAATCCTCTAAGCAACTTTGCAAATTAGCTGTTACCTGACTCATTCCACATATTTGGAATCCTTTGCATAACTGATCCTACAGCCTAGTGACCCAGTATGGGATTTGGGCTCTTCAGGTGATCTTGCAACCTCATTTTTTTGACCAGAGTGAGGGATGATGAGCTTTCCCAGACCAGATGGAGACAGTGCTTCTGAGCAAATGCATGTCAAAGGCTTGACACCATACACTCACTTACTCTGGGAAGTTACAAAAGTTACATTGTTCTATGGCTTGTTTTCACAGATGCTGCTTACTTTCATCTTACCTTGAGGAGATACTTCCTAGATTGGAGGGGAGGGAGGGGAAGGATGTGGGGGTGGGGGGAAGTGCTTTTGATCGGAGGTGCACATGGAGGCCAGAGGATAACCTCAGGTTGTTCCTCAGGAGCCAATTATCTTGTTTTTTCAAGACAGGGGGCTCAGCAATTTGCTAAGCTGGCTGGCCAGTGAGCCTCAGGAATCCTAATGTCTCTACATCCCCAGTGTTGAGATTACAAGCAGGTGCCACCACGCCTGGCTTTTTACATGGATGCATAAATATTTTATAAAGAATGTAGGACTCTGAGCTTGTTTCCCTATACACTGCTTGTTTTCTTTGTGTGTATGTGTGTGCATGTGTGTACACTGTGTGTGCAGGTTGCCCAGAGACCAAAAAAAAAAGGGCATTGGATCCCCTGTACCTGGAGTTCCATGATATTGTAAGCTGTCTGATGTGAATACTAGGATCCAAACTCAGGTCCTCTGGAAGAGCAACAAGTGCTCTTAACTACTGAGCCAGCTTAAGCCCCGCCTTTTCTGCTTTAGAGCTGGAATCTCGCTGTACTGCTTGGGCTGAACTCTTGCACTAGTGTTCCTCCTGCCTCAGCAATTACCATAACTGACTGGAATCTCCAGTTATGTTTGAAAATTAGCCCTTATTGGAGTAGGTAGCATATAGGTCAGAGGAGCCTGAAACAATGTGGCAAGAGTTTTTTGTTTGAGACAGGGTTTCCCTGTAGCCCCAGCTGGCCTCAATTTCAGAGCTTTGCCTGCCTCTGCCTCCTGAGTATTGGAATTAAAGGCATGTGCCACCAAACCTGGCTCCCAGCACAACTTTTAAAATTCTTAACTTTGGATCATGAAATTCAGCTAACAGATACATTAATCCAAATTGACAGACTGGTCCTAACTGCTAATAGTAGGAATTCTGATTATTAACACCATTAGAGGCAAGCTGGTCTGGCACTTGGACAAATCACTCTAAGTAAGTCTAATTTCAGTTTTCCTGACAAAGAGGTCTTTCAGGAAACCCCTTTTACATTTATAAACACACCATGCATTACAGAATAAAGAAATCGTAAGATCATTTACAAGAAAATTCTATTTGTGGTCTTTTATCTGCCTGTCCTTCTTAGAAACAGCTTTCTCCTCTCTTATAGTGCTTTTAAAAACCAGATAAGCCGGCACAGTGGTGCACGCCTGTAGTCCCAGCACTAGGGAGGCAGAGGCAGGTGGATTTCTGGGAGATTGAGGCCAGTCTGGTCTACATAGTGAGCTCCAGGTCAGCTGAGGCTGCAGGGAGACCCTGTCTCAAAAAGCCAAAAAAAAAAAAACACCACCTGTCAGATAAAAGACATCATTTCTTCAAGTGAGTTTCCAAAGCAGTAAAAAAACTAAAAAAATAGCCATTTTCTTAAAAGTAATGACAGATTTTAAAGCTAAACATAGGATTTTTTTTGTCTATTAAAATGATTCAGTATATGTAGCTTTCAAGTTGATTTTAGGTTCTAGTTATACAAAACAATTAGCCCACCCTTTTCCATTTGGCCCATACCTAAACCATAAAGAGAAAATTTATAGCTGCCTCCTCCCAGACTGCCAAACTACAATGAATGTGGTAATTATTACACTATTCCCATGTCATGGAAATTCATGATTATAAGATTAAACATTAACCATTTTATTTATGGCAAAGACACACTATGAGTTAAGGTCCAAATATATATATATATATAGATAGATAGATAGATAGATACTTAATACCGAAAAGGAAAATTTACATAAATAGAATCTTGGACATGTTAACAACCAATACCACTATCTAAACAACTTGCTCTCAAATTTCTAAAATGTGCTGTCACCTAAATCAGCATTCTATGATGGGCCTCTGTAATGATCTCTGTTCTAAGGCAAGGGTACCTACGCTGACTGTCTGGGTCTTTGTAAATTATTCAAATGTACAGGACTGATAGCTCTTGTATCTATTTTCTCTCTTTCCCTCCATTCCTCTCTCCCTCTCTCCCCTTTTGCTTTTTTTAATAGGATCTTACTCTGTAACCCAGAAGGAGGCTGACCCAGAACTTACTATATAGCCCAGGCTGTTCTCAAACTTAACGATGACCCCCCTGACTCAGCCTCCCAAGTGCTGAGACTGTAGATATGCACTATATTAGCTTTTTATGAAAGTGTTTTATTCAGTCACCAAGATGAGCTTTGGTTTCCGCCTCTGACCTGTATATACCTACCTACTAGGTTATTAGTCAATAAACTACAAACATAGAAAGGGGGTCAAGCGTGGTGGCGCACGCCTTTAATCCCAGTACTTGGGCAGAGGCAAGCGAATCTCTGAGTTCGAGGCCAGCCTGGTCAACATATTGAGTTCCAGGCCAGTTGGGCTACAGGGAGATCTTGTCTCAAAAAGACCAAAAAAAAAGAGGGGGTGGGGATGAGATTTCTCAGTGGGTACTGCCACTTGCCACCATGTCTGATGACCTGAGTTCAATTCCCAAGATGTACATGGTGAAAGAATCAACTCCTATAAGTTGTCCTTTGACCTCCATACATGCATCCATGTAACATAAATGTAATTTAAACAATACAGAAGTCACTGCTGTCCAGACCCTCAGGTCACTAGGCTTACCTCAAATCCTGCATATAGTTCCCCTGTTTTGTTGTTTCCTGCTATCAAATAGCAGTGAGAGGTTTAAGAGAAAATACAGCTATATTTTACCAAAAGTTACAAGTTTATTAACATAATATAGTCTAATATTTATCATATTTTCAAACAAGTCATTCTAAGTCTCATGTAAGAAATCATACTATCCAGTATTAATTAAAAACAAAACAAAACAAAAGATAATTGGGGCCATTCATGGGTTTTAGTCCAAAATGGAAATGCAAACACTTATTTTGGCGGATCTGTATTGATGCCATACTTTTCCTTGAGAAGCTTCAGCTGTTCCTCCTTCTTCTTGGTGTCCATCTTCTGAAATGCCTGGAAATGTGACAAACTCCCAAGTTAATAGTGAGCTACAGGTAAGTATATTTCACCAACAGCACCAACTAAAGCAAAAACTCACAGCACACAAGATCACAGGAGCATAGCTGGGGCACAAAGCTGAGGCACATGTGATGACCAGAGCACAACTCAGGCCACAAGACCATCAGAGCACAGCTGAGGCACACAAGATCACCAGGGCACAGCTGGGGCACACATGTATGCACAGCATATAAGAACTCAGCTCTACTCACCCTGTTAGCATTGTAATACAACACCACGAGGTATCTGTTACAAACATTGAATCCCGAGAGGTGGTCACATGCATTCTTGGCATCAAAGATGTCTTCATAAACCACATATGCTGTTCCTCTAGTTTCGGGTGTATTTCCTCTGCAGAATAGTGAAAATACACATTTACCCAAGCAGTGATAATTTTATTTTATTTTTTTTTGGTCTTTTTGAGACAGCGTCTCCCTGTAGCCCCAGCTGACCGGGACTCACTATGTAGACCAGGCTGGCCTTGAACTTAGAGATCCGCCTGCTTCTGCCTCTCCAGTGCTGGGACTAAAGTTCTGCGCTGGGACTAAAGTTGTGCGCCACCACGCCTGGCTTGCAGTGATAATTTTAAAGTCCTTCTGAATCTGTAGG